TCTATATTTCACCTCGGCAAGGTGAAATCTTAAGCCAAAATGCAGCACTTTCCGTATGCCTCTGCACACACACGCACACCCCTTCAGCTTGCTCTTCTTTAGCTGATTATTGTGACACATGAGACCTGAACCATCAAGCTGGCTTCCTATCAGTCAGGCTCTTGCAGGCAGCATCGTCTTGCCCAGGGCTTGAAGAAAGCATTTGTCTTTGGGAAGCAGTAAAAATGGAAAACCTTTTCCTGAACACACAGAGGAATAGTAATAGAGTACCTCTTTTCTGCTCTCGGTGAGCTGATGTGCGGACTTGCTCTTACAAGCACAGAAATTGTGACTTATGTTAGTGGTCTAGTTAGGTGTTAAAAAGTTGGTGTTTTTTTCTTGTTGTTTTTTTAATACTTTGTCTTTGCCCATAGCAGTTTGTGCTCTTCAGAGGCTGCTCTTTGTTAGTCTCTGGGTCAGGGGAAGGGAGCCTGCCTCCTGCTTGTCTTGCCCTCTTTCAGTCCTCTTCCAGCTTGGCTCTGAACCACCACGGCATCCCTCGACTCCTTTCAGTGGGTCTGTTGGAGCAAGGCCGTCTGGCTCGAGGCCCTTAAACCGTTGATCTTGTCAGATGTAGGCTGCAAAGTAGATAGCAGCCAGAAAATCAACTTGCTGAGTGCAGGAGAGGAATAAAGTACAGTACTGCTTTTTTTTTTTTTTTTTTAAATTCAATGTAGCTATTCTTAGAGGTCATCACGTAATACTAGACGGGATAAAATGACTAGAGAAGATGAATGAACACAGGACACTTTTTGCCCGAGTTTTGTACTTCCATGATGGTAGAGAGAATTTTCGGCGTAACCGATGCGTCCAGGCTGACTGCGCAAGTAGCGAGGGACTGGCGGCAAAAGTCAATTCAGAAGTGCTCCCGTACAGCCTTGTGGAGGTCGGGCTTGTGAAAAATGTGCAGTAGTGGAAGGTGCCACTAGTGGAGTCTTAACCTTGTTATTTTTCAGTGATCAGGGTCCAAATGGAAATGAACCCAGTAAATGATGCCTGTAGCTCTGGGATACTTGAAGGCTCTAATAGCTTTCATGTATCTGCTCTGATAGAGACTTGACATGAAATCCTTTCTGCTTGGAACCACTCACCTGCTTGATTTTGTGCTCCTCCTGTGGGATACTGATACGTAGCACAGTGGGTATTGATGGTGGAGTAATCTACAAAAAGATCGCCTTGCCCTGAATGGGTTTATGTAGATTCTCTACTTAAATTTCGGTTATCTTCCAAATTTTCTGTTGATTAAATGCACTTGATTTCCTCTAGAAATCCCTTGTCTGGTGTAAATGTTCCTTTCATTTCACAACAAAAAGATAGCAACCGTGCAGTGTTTATTGTACCTCGTTACTCGGTGATTCTCTCTCTCCTTCAAGTTTATATTGGGTTAGATCTGCAGAAAATATGGTGGGGGTTTGGGTTTTTTTTGTTGTTGTTTTTTTCTGTTTTATGTTTTTTTTAATGCTATCTTTTCTAATCAGTTCATTGTATTCAATGCGTGTCCCAAACTTAAATTAGCCTAAGGGAGTGTAGGACAGTTCTTGTTGAGTGAATACTCCACTGAAGGTTTTTAGACCATCCTTAAGTTCTGGATCTTCAGTAGATACTGAGAGGTTTGAACAAGACTTCTTAAATCTTGCATCGGCCAGACTGTTTGTCTTTGGTCAAGTTGTTGATACTTGCCTTGCCATGGTCTTAGACAGTAAACTGAGCAAATATGAACAAGCACCGTAGGAGGAGTCGGTCATCATTTTGTTTTCTGCAGGCATTTAAGAGGCTTGAAAGTAGTCCGACTTAATGAAAAGCTGTGTTGATGTCTTCAGCTTGTTAATGATGGAGCAGTGGGTGTAGGTACGCAGTAATTCATCAGTAAGCAAAATTCATGTCCTCTGGGCAGTGAGGTGTGGCTATGATATGTTAGTGAACTTGTTTGCTTTTGCTTGGTGTAGCTCTGGGGTTTCTGATGCCTTGGCTGTGGCCTGCGGATGTGGAGACCAGACTTGCTTGAGCGGCTGTGGTGAAACGGGTGTGGGTGATCAGGCCAGGTACGCACGCAGTGGCAGCCTGATAGGACTGGCTTTATTTAGCCTGTTACAAACGGGGCAGGCTTGTGCTGTACCTCTGGGATTAAAGGATACAAATTAAAGGGCGAACTTATTCTGGTGAAAGCAAACTTACTGACGATTCTGGAAATTCATAAAACGTACTATTTACCGCATCTGACATTTTAGCGATGTTTGTCTAATGTAAGGTACGTAACAGGAGAGATTTTGGCCATCAAATTATCTCTCAGAATATTAGTACGTGTTTCCTGAGAATTGCGTGCTTACGCTTGGCCCTGGTTCCAAACAGCTACAGGAGAAGACTTGAAAATGGGCTTTGGAAAACTTGAGAAATACAGCAGATAGCCTTGCAGCCCTGTTAACTGGCCAAATGAGAGGGCAGCCTTCCTGAGGGCATTTAGCACCTGAATTTGACTGTGCCACTGGGTTGCACAAGTGCCTCCTCAGCAATATTGGTCATTTGGGCGATTTTTTTCTCTTGCCTTTGGGTTCTTGGATGGTGAGAGGACAAGCGGGCAGAAGATGGGAAGGATAATGGAATAATAAATACAGTGCTGGGTAAGAGGAAGGATCAAGAGGTGCTCAGGGACGTAGCCTGTCTCTTCCTCTTCCCTCTCAGTCCACTTAAACCAGAACTTTCAAAAGGTAAGAGTGCAGGATATAATTCAGTCAAGGTTGGAACAAAAGCAGTTCCCTCCTTTCACCTCAACAAACATTTGCTTGTTGTCTCAAACCAAGGCAAGAAGCACTTTTAATTACATATCTCACAAGTTCTCCCCCTGAAGGGAATAAAGCAGCCTTCTGACCGCACGTGTTCACTGCCTCATGAGTCCCTGCATGCTGCCTGGACGTACGTTCCCCTTCTGTCTGTAGCTCTATGAACTTCTCCAGCCCCTGTGCAACGTTTGCCTGCTGATCTGAATTTCTCCTCACCACCTGTTAGTTACCGCAGAATTGCCCCCACTGCTCGGGTGTTCACTGACGCTCACCGTCTTAGCACCGCATCGATGTGGTCGAGGCTCACCACGGTAACACCGCGTCTGCCTAGGTTTGTGGAGAACACAGCCTGGATTCCCTGGATTCCTGTCCAGTGCTCTCACCAAAGAGGGCTCTTGGCATAAGTTTTCTGCTTTGAAATGTCATGCTTCTGTTTTAATTTTTTTCTGCCTGTGCTGTTCTTTCTGAAGACCCCGGGAGAAGAGGTGTTAATGCACTGCAGCAAGTGCGTTAGCTCAGAGGGGTTGGAGCTGTTACACTGCGGTCCATCTCACAGAGGGGCCTGGGGCCTCGCCAGCTGGCCAGCGAGAAGATGCGTGTTCCTTCGTGTAGGTTTTTTTTTCTGAAATAGCTTTAGCCTTGTATTTTTGTGATCCAAGTGTACTTAGGGAGAAACAGTGCCTTTTTTTTTTTTTTTTTTTCCCCTCCCCTGAATGGCTATAAAAAGTGCCCTGTAGCAGTTAGTGCCATGCAAAGAATTTGGTTTTCTGCTTCCAGAGGCTTTGGTTTCTCTGCAAATTGGTGGGTTTTCACAGTGAGTCTGGCACAGCCTGTTCCCCCATCTGGCTCGGTGACCTTGCTGCCTTCTCCTCACCTTGGGCATCTCTCACCTGACTGGAAATGGAGTAAAGGCTTGGAGAGTGGTTACTAAGCAGCAAGGAGGCAGCGTTATGTCCGTGTCAGGTTGAATGAATAGCTTCAGTGTTTGGAGGCACTGAGGAATTTTGGAGGCACAGTCCAGTGAGTCACAAAAGATCTTTGAGAGGCAGGCGGGGGGAGAGGGCAGTGTTGGGATACAGCTGACAGTGTTTCAGAAACTTCATTTGTGCTGAATTTGATATCGCTTGTGACTCTGCTGGGGTCTCTCAGAAGCACCACAATATTTGAACGTTGGTCTCAATATGGCGAAAGCATATTTAAGAGTGTCTTATCCTCCATAACACCTCCTGCTCAGCAGGTTCTGGTGCAAACATCTGCTGTGTTCCCACAACTGAAGCGGCCTTAATTTATATAACTACGGAGGGATTAGCTGTGTTGAGAAGATCTCCAAACAGAGCATTACAAGCCAGTGGAAGTTGCCCTTGAGTTTCTGGTAGAGCAGATTGGCTATACCACTCCTGGAAAGGAGCAGCCCAGAGAGAAGTGACAGCAGGAGTGTTCTTCTGGAACAGGAATACAGGATCTGCATCACCACCACGCTCCCTGGCATTTGGGTTCGTAGAGGTTTTATCAGCCAAAGCCTTGAATGGCACAATTACAGAAGTGAATTCTGGCAAAGCTCTGCGGCCCGGGACCCTGCAGAGCCCTGGGTGCCTGCGGAGAGCCCGCCCAGGTGCCGCTCCAAAGTCGCTGTGCCCTGCCGCCGGCTCTGGGACCGTTTTGGCTGTTTTCATGTTACTCTGGGGAACGCATCCTGCTGGCCCTGCTTAGAGGACTGCAAGTTGCACAGGCCTGTCGTAGGCATTCCCAGGGCTTAAGGAGTTTTCTGTGGGCTGGATCCAGCTTATATTTAGCTAGCTATGCTCTAAAACGTTGACTCTTGGCTGGTGCCAAGGGCCAGCCACCAAAAATGAAAAATCTGTGGTTTGATCTGTTTTGAGGAAAGGCTTCAAGTACAGCAGTTCTTGTGGAATTCAAAAGGAGCTGAGTGTCCAGGACTCCTAGAAACAAAGCCTGAATTCTTTCATTAAATTTAGACTCTAGCTTTGAAAGGAAACAGAGCATCCTGTTAGGCTTTGACTTTCCATGGTACAAACATTGCCCTATTACCTAATAACTTGCATTTTGTAATTTTTTTCTTTTGTCTCAGAAGTAATGTATAAATTTCTAAACAAATGGACAGTATAGCTTTTTAGATTGGAAGCATACCTTGACTAAAATCTGTTTCTTCCCCCTTCCTCCCAGGAATTGTCAGAACTGGAGAAGAGAGATCCTCAGGAGCTAGTTGGTAAGTTCGCTCAGAAGTATTTCTTCACATGTTTTTTCAAACTAGACCTTCTAGGCTCCCCCTTTGTAAAAAACATCTTCCCTCTGTCCTGACAGCGCTGTAGTTTGAATTATTGCCTGCCATGTTTTATCTCAGTGGAATATTTTCAGTGAAGTCTTCCTTTGGGAGAAAGGTACCATGCCTAAAAATATGAAAATATTTTCGTATATAACATGTCTAAGACATATGTAAAGGGCAGTGTTGCTGTTTTTCTAGATGAGCTTAAAAACAATAAAGCATAGCTTTGTCCAGACACCTCTGTGAGAGCCAGCATAACCAGGAATGATGACAGATACTTTGTTCTGTGGCTTCAAAAACTTACCTAAAATATCCCCACTTAAATGTGATCCACGTAGCGATTTATAGCTGCTGTGTTGACATAGCGTGCCGTATGCTTTCTAATGGTTACTGAAACGTATTTGATTTTTGTGACTTCTCATTTACTCATTGCACCATTATTAGATTTGGAAGAAATGCTTGGAAAGTCCAGGATCATCAGCTTGAAGTAGTGTCCTCTGCTTAGCCTCTGTGGAGCTGTACAGAAAGTGTATTTTATGTTGAAGCTCTGACTATCTTGAACTAACCCTTTGTTCCTGAGGTTACTAGTACGGTTGTGTGGTAGCATGTAATAATATCATAAAAAATCATGAGTTTAGAAGTTGCTTCATTACCTGTCAAGTCAGCTTGTCGAGGCTCAAGCGTGACATTTCAGCCACGAAGTGTGGTAAACATAAAATAAGACAGGCAATACTAGGATGCTAAGCTGTGACTCCTACAACAGCCATCACTGAAGTTTTGGACTTCAGTCCTTTTCAATTGGCCTGCCCAGACTTTGCACCAACCCAACTGGTATATTGAATTTTCAGCCTTTAGAGGGCAAAACTGCTGTAACCAGTCTCATCATAGAATGCAACAGAGATCTTTCTCCAAACTACTGATCTGCCCCCAAATGCACGCTAGAAACACGGATGAGACAACAGCATTTAGGGTAAAAAGTAAAGAAGAATATCTGAAAGCCAACTGCCCTTCTACTCTCTACTTTACATACGGGTGGAACTCTGCACTTGTGAAGCCGTGTAGTGGGAAGGCCTTTCTTAGGTAAGGTATAAGGCTCAGGTTCCAATTTTGTTAGTCTCCTTTTCCCCGGTGACTGCCCCATCCACAGATCAGCAGATTGAATCTCATTTGTCTCATGATAGCCCAGACTTGCACGCAGGCTTAAAAGCTGCACAGGGGGCACTTGCTACCGTGTCACGCACTCGGGAGTGGACAGTGTTGGTGAGTCCGGGACCTGGATTAAGGTTTGCAATGTGATATCTTTAATATCCTTTCCCAATAGTAGCACACACAGAGCAAGGTGTAGGCTAGCTTTGCGCAGAACCAGGTCATTAGAGGTCAGCATACTTGCCATGCTGGATTCTCTAGGACTTTTGCATTAGACCATATCTTATCTAGTTGAAAAGGAACTGCTGCAAGAGCCTTATGGTTGGCGTAACGTGAGAACCACGCCCTTCCTGGAAGCTTGCACTTTCAGAGTTAGAGTTCTTGAATGGAAAAAGGTGCGGGATTTTCTGACACAAAGCAAGTAACTACTCCAATCTGGACATCTGAAGTTTTGTCTAATATCAGTATGTGGAAGTCGAAGCCTTAGACAGTTTTCCACAGCTGCTTTTTGCATTAAAAGCTTGTGGGCCTGTCCTTCTCCGAAGATAACCGTACGTTGTTCAGCATCACCTCTATTAAAGTTCATGGTTATGTAGTTGCTTAAGTACAGCATAAATGTAGGCTCCTGCCAGAAGTAATGTTGCTGTTTTGCCTCCCCCGGACGCGTGCTAATGTTTGTGTGCCTTGAGCTGGTCTGGGAGGTGCAGCCAGCTGAGATCCACCTTCACTGCTCTTTTTTTTTTTTTTTTTTTCTTTGTCTTTTGGGCTTCCCGCTGGGCTCCTTCCCCTGCTCTCCCCCGC